AGTAACAGCTACAACTGCCCAAAATAACATAGTAACAGAAACAACGGGAAAAACAAATCTTTAGAAAACAGCAAAAAACTGACAACATAAGGGAAATAAAGCTACAACTGACAACAAAATTTCAAAATAACAGGATAACAATAAAAAACATGCAAAAAACCCAATATAGCGTCCCCATTGTTTGGGGGTCGGACATCACGCGGGGAAAATGAGCTAATACACCCCACCACAAAAATTTAACAAAAAAACATTAATAAATTCACTCGATAAGAAAATCCCAACGTTGAAATCAAGCATGAAATTTCCCTTTTTTTTAAAATTTTTATTTTAGTCTTTTCATCTTTATTTTTTTATGAGGGCATGAGCCTGGGCGGGGTCACCACCATGCCCCTTTCCCGGGGGTGCTGAAGGAAATTTAAACCATGTCTGATATCCTGTAGAGCTTTTAAAGGGGACTTACGAAAGGTTGTTGCCACGCAGGACGGGATGTGACGCCAGTTTTCGCATGCAAAACCCCAAAATAATATCAAAAAATCGGAAAACTTTTTTAAAGTTTACTTTTAAGCTAACTGCGCGCACCGAAAAATTAAAATTTTTTTTTACAAATTTCTCATTTTTTTTTTTAAATCCCTTCCTTTCCTTATATTTCCCCCTCCCTTTTTTCCCCCCCTTTTTTTTCCCCCCCCCCTTTTTTCCCCCCTTTTTGGGGTTTTGGTTTAAGGGGGGTTTGGGTTTGGGGGAAAAAAAAATTGGGGAAAGGGGTTTGGGTGGGATATACAGAAGGGGGCTGGCGGGGAAAAAGAGGGGGAAAAGGGGAAAAAAATTTCCCCAAAAACAAAACACACACACACACACAAACACCCCCAAATTTAAAAAAAAAACCCCCCAAACCCCCAAAAAAAAACAAAAATTTTTTAAAAAAAAAAAACCCAAAAACCCCTTTTTAAAAAAAATTTTTTTTTTTTTTGGGGTTTTTTTTAAAACCCCCTTTAAAAAATTAAGGGGGAAAATTTTAAAAAAAAATTTTTTTTTCCCCTTTCCCATTAAAAAATTTTTTTTTTTTTTTAAAAATAAAAATAAATTAAAAAAAAAATTTTAAAAATTTTTTTTTTTTTTTAAAATTTTTTAAAAAAAAAAATTTTTTTTAAAAAAAAAAAAAAAAAAAAAAAATTAAAAAAAAAAAAAAAAAAAATTAAAAAGGGAAAAAATTTTTAAAAAAAGGGAAAAAATTTTTTTTTTTTTTCCCCAAAAGGCCCTTTTAAAAAGGGGGGTTTAAAAAATAACCCAAAAAGGGGGGGAAAAAAAAATTTTAAAAATTGGGGGAAAATTTTTTTTAAATTTTTTTTTTTTAAAAAAATTTTTTTAAAATTTTTTTTTAAAAATTTTTTTTTTTTCCCAAAAAAAAAATTTTTTTTTTAAAAATTTTTTTAAAAAAAAAATAATTTTAAAACTTTTTTTAAAAATTTTTTTTTTTTAATTTTTTTTTAAATTTTTTTTTTTTTTTTTTAAAAAAAAATTTTTTTTTTTTTTTTTTAAAAAATTTTTTTTTAAAATTTTTTTTTTTTTTTTCCCCCTTTTTTTTTTTTTTTTTTTGGGGGGTTTAAAAAAGGGTTTTTTAAAAAATTTTTTTTTAAAAAAAAAAATTATTAAAAATTTTTTTTTTAATTTTCCCCGGTTTTTTTTTTTGGGGTTTTTTTCCCTGTTTTTTTTTTTTTTCCCCCAAATTTCCCTTTTTTTTTTTTTGGGTTTCCCCGGGGTTTTTAAAGGGGGGTTTTAAAATTTCCCCCCCCTTTTTTCCCCCCCAAAAACCCCCCCCTTCCTTTTTTTCCCCCCCCGGGTTTTTTTCCCCTTTGGGTTTTTTTTAAATTTTTTTTTTTTCCATATTTGAATTTTTTTAATTTCCCCCTTTTTTTTTTGGGCCCCAAAAATTTTAAAAAAATTTTTTTTTTTTTTTCCCCCCTTTTTTTTTTTGGGGGGCCCCCGGGGGGGAAAAAAACCAAAATTTGGGGTTTTGGGTTTTAAATTTTTAAAAAAATTTTTTTTTTTTAAAATTTTTTTTTTTGGGGTTTTTTTTTGGTTTTTTTTTTTTTTTTGGGGGGGGTTTTTTTTTTGGGTTTTTTTTGGGGGGGGGGGGGAATTTTTTTTGGGGGGGGGGGGGGGGGTTTTGGGGGGGGGAAAAATGGGGGGGTTTTTTTTTTTTTTTTGGGGGGTTTTTCCCCCTTTTTTCCCCCCCCCCCCCCCCCAAAAACCTTTTAAAAAATTTTAAAAAAAACCCCAAAATTTTTTAAAAAAAAAAAAAACCCCCCCCCAAAAAAAACCCCCCAAAATTTTAAAAACCCCCCCCCCTTTAAACCCCCCCCCCCAAAAAAAAACCCCTTTTAAAAATTCCCCCCCCCCCCCCACCCCCCCCCCCCCCCCCCCCCAAAAAAAAAAATTTCCCCCTTCCTTTACAAAACCCCCCCCAAAAAAAAAAACCCCCCCCTTTTTCCCCCCCCTTCCCCAAAAAAAAACCCCAAAAAACCCCCCCCCTTTAAAAAAAAAACCCCCCCCTTAAACCTTTAAAAATTCCTTCCAAAAAACCCCCCCCTTTTTTTCCCCCCCCCTTTTTAAAACCCCCCCCCCCCTTTTTTTCCCCCCCAAATTTCCCCCAAAAAACCCCCCCCTTTTTTCCCCCCCCCCAAAAAAAAAAAAAAAACCCCCTTTTTAAAAAAAACCCCCCCCCCCCAAAAAAAGGGGAAAAAAAAAACCCCCTTTTAAAACCCCCCAAAACCCCCAAAAAACCCCCCCCTTTTAAAAAAAAACCCCCCCCCCCCCCCCCCCCCCAAAAAAACCCCCAAAATTTAAAAAAAAAACCCCCCCCCCTTTTTTCCCCCCCCCCCAAAAAAAACCCCCCCCCCCAAAAAAAACCCCCCCCCCCAACCCCCCCCCCCCCCCCCCCCCAAAATTTTCCCCTTTTTCCCCCCCCTTTTTCCCCCAAAACCCCCCCCCCCCTTTTTTCCCCCCCTTTTTTTCCCCCCCCTTTTAAAAAACCCCCCCTTTTAAACCCCCCCCCCCCCCCCCCCCCCAATTTTAAAAAAAAAAACCCCCCCCCCTCCCCCCCCAAAAAAAAAAAAAAAAAAAATTTTTTTTAAAGGGGAAAAAATTTTTACAAAAAAAAAAAAAAATTTTAAAAAAAACCCCCCCCCCCCCCCTTTTCCCCCCCTTTTTCCCCAAAAAAAAATTTTTTTTAAAACCCCCCCCCCAAAAAAACCCCCCCCCTTCCCCCCCAAAAAAATTTTCCCCCCCCCCAAAAAAAAAAAAAAACCCCCTTCCAAAACCCCCCCCCCAAAAAAAAAAACCCCCCAAAAACCCCTTTTAAAAAAAAGGGCCCCCCCCCCCTTAAAATTTTTTCCCCCCCCCCCGGAAAAAACCCCCCCCCCCTTTCCCCCCCCCCCCCAAAACCCCCCCCCCCCCAAAATTTTTTAAAAAAAAACCCCCCCCCCCAAAAAAAAACCCCCCCAAAAAATTTTTTTGGGGGGGAAAATTTTCCCCCCCCAAAAACCCCAAACCCCCCCCCCCCCTTTAACCCCCCCCCCCTTTTTTAAAAATTTCCCCCCCCCCTTTTCCCCCCCCAAAACCCCCCCCCCCCCCCCCAAAAAAAAACCCCCAAAACCCCCCCCCGGGGTTTTTTAAAAAAAAAAAACCCCCTTTTTTTTCCCCCCCTTAAAATCCCCCCCCCCCTTCCCCCCCCCCCCCCCAAAAAAATCCCCCCTTTTTCCCCCCCTCCCCCCCCAAACCCCTTCCCCCCCTTTTTTTAAAAAAAAAAAAACCCAACCCCCTTTCCCCAAAAAAAATTTTCCCCCCCACCCCCCCCCCCCAAAACCCCCCCCCCCCCCCCTCCCCAAAAAAATTTTAAAACCCCCCCCCCTTTCCCCCCCCCCCCAAAAAAAAAAATTTTTTTTTAAACCCCCAAACCCCCCCCCCCCCCCCACCCAACCCCCCCCCCAAATTTTCCCCAAACCCCCCCTTCCCAAAACATCCCCCAAATTTTAAAAAAACCCAAATTTTTTTTTAAAAATTTTTTTCCCCCCCCCCCCCTTTTTTCCCCCCCCCCAAAAAAAAAAAACCCCCCCCTTTTTTAAACCCCCACCCCCCCTTCCCCCCCCCCCCCCCCCCAAAAAAACCCCCCCCCCCCCCCCTTTTCCCCAAAAACCCCCCCCCTTTCCCCCCCCTTTTTTCCCCCCCAAACCCCCCCCCCCCCCCCCCCTTTTTTAAAAATCCCCCACCCCCAAAACCCCCTTCCCCCCCACCCCCAACCCCCAAAAACCCCCCCCCCCCCCCCCCACAAAACCCCCCCCCCCCACCCCTTTTTCCCCCCAAAAAAAAACCCCCCCTCCCCCCAACCCCAAAACCCCCCCCACCCCCCCCTCCCCCAAAAAAAAACCCCCCCCCCTTTCCCCCAAAAAAACCCCCCCCCCCCAAAAACCCCCCCCAAATTTTCCCCCCTTTTCCCCCAAAAAAAAAAAAAACCCCCCCCTTTTCCCCCCCGGGGGGCCCCCCCCCCCCCCCCCAAAAAAACCCCCCCCACCCCCCCCACCCCCCCCAAAAAAAATTTTTTTAAACCCCTTTACCACCCCCCCCCCCCCCCCCCAATTTCCCAAAATTCCCCCTTTTAAAAAACCCCCCCCCAAAAAAAAACCCCCCCCCAAAAAATTTTTTAAAAAAACAATTTCCCCCCCCCAAAAAATTAAAACCCCCCCCCCAAAAACCCCCCCCCCCCCCCAAAAAAAAAACCCCCCCCCCCCCCCAAAACCCCCCAAACCCCCCCCCCCCTTTCCCCCTTCCCCCCCCCCCCCCCCCCAAAAAAAAAAAAAACCCCCCACCCCTTTCCCCCCCCCCCCCCCCCAAAAACCCCCCTTTTAAACCCCCCCCCATTTTTCCCCCCCCCCCCCCCCCCTTTCCCCAAACCCCCCCCCCCCCCCCCCACCCCTTTTTCCCCCCCCCCCCTTTTTCCCCCCCCCCCCCCCTTTCCCCCCCCCCCCAAAAATCCCCCCCACCCCCCCCTTTCCCCCCCCCCTTCCCCCCCCCCCCCTTTCCCCCCTCCCCCTTCCCCCCCCCCCCCCCAAACCCCCCCCCCCTTTCCCCCCTCCCCCCCCCTTTTCCCCCCCCCCCCCCCCACCCCCCCCCCTTTCCCCCCCCCTCCCCCCCCAAAACCCCCTTCCCCCCCCCCCCCCCCCCCCTTTCCCCCCCCCCCCCCCTTTCCCCCCCCCCCCCCCCCCCTTTTTCCCCCCCCCCCCTTCCCCCTTCCCCCCCTTTCCCCCCCCCCTTTCCCCCCTTTCCCCCCCCCCCCCCCCCCCCCCTTTTCCCCCCCCCCCCCCTTCCCCCCTTTTCCCCCCCTTTTTTTCCCCCCCCCCCTTTTTTCCCCCCCCCCCCCCCCCCCCCCCCCCTTTCCCCCCCCTTCCCCCCCCCTTTCCCCCCCCCCCTTCCCCCCCCCCCCCACCTTTTCCCCCCCTTTTTCCCCCCCCCCCCTTTTTCCCCCCCCCTTCCCCCCATTCCCCCCCCCCCCCCCTTTCCCCCCTCCCTTTCCCCTTCCCCCCCCCCCCCCCCCCTTCCCTTCCCCCCCCCCCCCCTTCCCCCCCCCCCTTCCCCCCCTTTTCCCCCCCCCCCCCCCCCCCCCCTTTTTTTTCCCCCCCCCCACCCTTTTCCCCACACTTCCCCCCCCTTTTTACACACCCCACCCCCTTTCCCCCCTTTTTTTTCCCCCCCCTTCCCCCCCCCCCCCCCCCCCCCCCCCCCCACCTTCCCCCCCCCCTTTACACCTCCCCCCACCTTTTCCCCCTCCCCCCCCCTTTCCCCCTTTCCCCCCTTTCCCCCCCCCCCCCTTTTCCCCCCCCCCCCCCCTTTACAAACCCCCCCCCACCCTTCCCCCCCCCCCCCCCTTTTTTCCCCCCCCCCCACCCCCTTCCCCCCCCCCCCCCCCTTCCCACGCCCCCCCTTTCCCCCCTTACACCCCCCCCCCCCCACCCCTCCCCCACCTTTTTAAAAAACCCCCCCCCCCCCCTTTCCCCCCTTCCCCCCTTTTTTCCCCCCCCTTTTTTTTTTTCCCCCCCCACCCCCCCCCCCCTTTTCCCCCCCCCCCCCCCCCCCCCCCCCCCCCCCAAACCCCCCCCCCTTTTCCCCCCCCCCCCCCCCCCCCCCCCCTTCCCCCCCCCCACCCCCCCTTCCCCCCCCTTTTTTCCCCCCCCCCCCCTTTTTCCCACCCCCCCCCCCCCAAAACCCCCCCCCCCCTTTTTTCACACACTCCACCCCCCTTTCCCTTTCCCACACACTCCCACCCACCTTCCTTCACACACTCCCACCCACCTTCCTTCACACTCTCCCACCCACCTTCCTTCACACACTCCCACCCACCTTCCTTCACACACTCCCACCCACCTTCCTTCCACCTCCCACCCCCCTTTCCTTCACACTCTCCCACCCACCTTCCTTCACATCTCAAAACCCACCTTCCCTTTCACACTTTCCCCTCCCAACTTCCTTCACTCTCTCCAAACCCACTTCCTCCCCTCTCCCACCACCTTCAACACTCCCCACTTTCTTCACACTGTCCCACCCACCTTCTTCACACTCCCCCCACCTTTCTTCACACTGTCCTTCCCACCTTCCTTCACACTCTCCCTCCCACCTTCACACTCTCCCTCCCACCTTCACACTCTCCCTCCCACCTTCCTTCACACTCTCCCTCCCACCTTCCTTCACACTCTCCCTCCCACCTGATGACGCGCATCATACAGACTCAATGATGTCGTGTATCATACAGATTCATTGATCATGTGTATCATGCAGACTCATTGTGTGTATCATACAGACTCATTGATGGTTTGTATCATACAGACTTATTGATGGTGTGTATCAAACAGGCTCATTAATGGTGTGTATCATACAGTCTCATTGATGGTGTGTATCATACAGTCTCATTGATGGTGTGTATCGTACAGACTCATTGATGACGTGTATCATGAAGATTCACTGATGACGCGCATCATACAGACTCAATGATGTCGTGTATCATACAGACTCATTAATGGCGTTCATCATACAGACTCATTAATGGCGTGCATTATACAGACTCATTGATGGTGTGTATCATACAGACTCATTGATGGTGTGTATCATGCAGACTCATTGATGGCGTGTATCATGCAGACTCATTGATGGCGTGTATCATGCAGACTCATTGATGGCGTGTATCATACACACTCATTGATGGCGTGTATCATGCAGACTCATTGATGGCGTGTATCATATACACTCATTGATGGCGAGTATCATGCAGACGCATTGATGGCGTGTATCATGCAGACGCATTGATGGCGTGTATCATGCAGACTCATTGATGGCGTGTATCGTACAGACTAACTGCACTCTAGTTATTCACTGGCTGGTTTGATCGTCATGTAATTAACCTATTACCTAGGCAATCACCGCCCTAATTGGCAAATGCGAAAATGTGTTTGAAAATATATTTTAGGGGAGAAAAATTTGAATTTAATATAGTCCACGATGTGCTATTTTTCCCAAACAGTGAATTGAAGGTCAGATTTCCCTATTGTTACCTGAATCTGTAGGTCTTTTTTTTTACCAGATGGTCTTTCTTTGTTCCTTTAATTGGTCTGCGAAGGTCTATTTACCTCTCTCTGAAGGTCTTTATTATTTTATGTTGGTCTCTTGGTTTCTCTAAATTTTCTGTCGACCGATTTTTCTTTTCATCTGGTCTTCCAATGACGTTAATTGTCATATCAGTAACTTCTCATCACCCCAATGTTTCACCAACTTCTCCCGTTCTGTCCCTTTCTCCCTCTTTCTCTCGATAAATCTGTGTCCTCGTAGCTCTTTTCTCTTTTTTGACTCTTAATGTCTTTCTCATCGTTTCTTTCCGCTCTTATTACCATTTTATTCTATATTCCCATCTTCCACCCCCTGCAAACATCCTTCTGTGTTTATCCCCTATCTCACTCGCTGGGGACCTCCCTACCCTGTCTGCCAGTGTCTTCTACATGGTAAATACCCTTCCATTTAGAACCACCCGTTTTCCCTCCATAATTTTTAC